CACACAGACTCACACAGACACACACAGACTCACACAGACTCACACAGACACACACAGACTCACACAGACTCACACAGACACACACAGACACACACAGACTCACACAGACTCACACAGACACACACAGACTCACACAGACGCACACAGACACACACAGACTCACACAGACTCACACAGACACACACAGACACACACAGACTCACACAGACGCACACAGACACACACAGACTTGAGGTTGTTCAGTTCTGTCTTCGGACCTTAACTCACTCACTGCCAGCCATTTTCAGAACAGAGAGTCCCATACTGCCAGAGTTTTTTGAGCATTTTGACTGATTTTTCAAGAGCCACAGAATAGTTTGTGCTATGACTATGTAAACACCGAACACACCAAAAGAAAGAGTAGACTCTCTTCTTTCATCAGGAAATTTTTTTTGTTTCTACCTTATTCCGTTCTTCCTGGACTTGCGTCTCACCGGCGACATGTTCTCTCATAGAACCGTTACCTTTTTCTTATTTGCCTACAGTCTATGCTCATGTCCCATCAAAAGTGGCACTGCCCCCTAGAGGGTCAATTTGTTACTACATACTCTGTCTAGAAGCCTGATATTTACGGACAAGCTTTAGCAGATCGTCCCCCAGCCACTCTCGCTGAAAAACCTAAAAAACGTCTATAGACGTCTTTGGCAGCCAATGAGTTAAATGTGTGAGGCAAGCTTTCTAAATAGTTAGAGAAGATCGATCTTGTCCAATAAAGAGGTTTTACTCGAATGTTGGAAAAAGATGTTTTCAGTCCCCCTTTAAACGCCCGGAGGGCGGCGTTCTGTCCAGTAGAGCTTCATTCTCCTTTAATCCTCTTCAAAACCAGAATCAGGATCAGAAATACTTTAATAATCCCAGATGGAAATTATTTTTGTTACTAACTCCAGATATACTACAGCACATACTTATATACATGTCTAAATATATATATATATATATATATGTATATCATTCCTGCCAGTGGTCATAAATCCCTACAGAATCAGACACCCCCCCTCAGTAAATTCTTACTAATTTATTGGCATTTATTTATTCTTCTCTCACTATCGTTATCACTTATTTTAGATCTGTATATATACATATAGTTACATATGTATATATTAATAATCCCAGAAGGAAATTATTTTTGTTACCAACTCCAGATATGAAACAAACTAGACGACCAAGGACCCTTAACAAAGAACAAAAAGAGAAAAATCTCCAGGATGCCATCAAACAGTTGGCATCCTAAATATATCC